ATGCATTCCATTTGGCCAGTATTGCAATATTAGCTATTTTAGTGATTGAGGTGAGTTGATTTTTGTACATTTTAGAAATCAGTCCAAAGAGCATTCATTTTGAATCATTGTGTTTGGTTAAAATCGTACTATATTTTGAAAAACGTCCGACGCTTCAAGGACTCGAAAAACAATATCAACCTACATCAAAAATATCATTCATAGCATGAATATAAGCAGTCAACTAAGTAGGTGATATATTGGACCAAATATTTGTGTGGGCTTATATGGATTCAATTTGAAACGACCCACCCATCACCCTCGAAGAGGATAAGTAAATACGCCCGACTCCAATACATTTATTTTTCAAATTCAGATATAAAGTGGAATCCAGATATACCAAGTATATTTTGCTCATGACCACGAAAGGCAAATTTGGCTTTGACCGTAAATTTGACCTGCCCTTTAATGTTAAAAGCGTTCATCACCAATCAAAAAACATTGTTACAAAATAATATACTTCACTTTATATTCGCTAAGCTCATATTGTTGTATGATAATAATCTCAATTCACAAACCTAATAGCAGTGTGGGATTAGGTGTCCTTTTAAATTAACACATTTATATTAATATTACATCAAATACATAATGCATTGTTATATGATCAAATTTCCATCACAAATGTTAATCCCCTTTCACATAATTATAACAGACGAATAACGCAATGCGTGGTAATTTCTAATGTTATAAGAAAAGGCTATGTTTACATTGGTTTTCAGCCATTTAAAACATCAAAAACTCTTCAAGGTGGGCCCTGAATTGGGTCATTGGACCCACGCGGCGATGCACAACGTGTGAAGGGTCCATTAATTTTTTAGCTAATTTACTGGTTAACCCAATCTTCACAATAGCAAGCTATTACTAACATCGTCTTATACCTTGACTGCAATAACCATCTTTCTTGTATCATATAATGCATCGATTTGATTGGATTGTACGCCGGCAAATACAGCCAATCAGAGCCCTCGATGGAAAGCTGTAAACATTATGGCTTTGTGTCCATAAATTCTATCGAGGCCTCTGATTGGTTGCATTCGCTTGCGTACTATCCGATCAAATCGTTTCATTTACAAACTTCCATGATGCAAGTAAGGTGACCATTGCATTCAAGGTACAAGTACGAAGTTTGTAATAGCTTGACATTGTGAAGATGGGGAAACCCATAAATAATGTGACGTTTGTCAGACTAAGAAATATATATTTGATTCACATACATACATGTTTGTTTGATCTAGTTAAAATAGTGCAGACCTACCCTTAGATCGTTAAACAAATGAGATTACAACTGAAAATGTTGTAATCAAATAGTAATGCTTGAATACAGTTGAAATCAAATGCATGTAGATGAAACATTGTATAGTCCATTTCGACAAGTTGATAATTAGATATACGCCTTCACATACCAGTGTGATAAGAGCTCGTGTAATAGCTTGTATTAGTGCAAGCTTGTGTCATTTCATTGGAAACAAGCCTCTTTTTCTGAGTAAGTGTTGTTATTTAATGGAATGATACCGAAGGCAATCCAAGAGAAACTGGTCGCCTACACGAATTCAGCATTCCCTTTCCTTTGATCAGTTCGTAATGTTAATGCCCTCGAGCTTGCTGATCAATTTCATTGTATTTTTTACAAGATCAACTGCTGTGAATTAGGTTAACTGTAGAAATAACTACTCTTTGAGATACCAATACATTACATAACTCAAACCATTTACAGAATCAATTGATTGCAGTCAACATTTTAGTCAACATTTGATTGCAGTCAACATTTTAGTCACCATTTGATTTCAGTCAACATTTTAGTCAACGTTTGATTTTAGACATCAATTACATTAAGCCATCATTTAATTTACATTATTCTTAAATTTGGCCATCGCTTGATTATTTCAGTCATGCGTTGATTTGAGTCATTATTTGATTTGAGGCATCAGTTGAATTCAGTCATCATTTGATTTGAGTCATTAATTGATTTCAGTTACAGTTGATTTCAATTACAGTTTATATTAGCCATCATTTGATTTTAGCCAACAATTGATTTCAGTCATCAGATGATTTTAGCTGTCAGTTGATTTTAGCTGTCAGTTGATTTTAACCAATGTTCGATTCTGCCCAATATTCATCCAGAAACCCTTTTCAGAAGATATATAATTTCAGTCATTATTCTAATCTATTCGACAGTGAGTATGATAATATTTCAGATAGGAGGAAAATATTATTTCAAAATCTATTTATTTTTTCAGACAATATTAAAGACAATATGTGCAGGGAAGCCATTCTTTCATCGAAAGTTGGAGGTAAGAAATTACAATTTTATCTTGAAGCCTCTATACTGCTGAAATCATTTACAGTGAAATGGAGTTTTACGTTGGCATTGTATTGTGTTATTTGATATTACAATTGTGACGTCATAAATTCAAGCGATTTTATTACATAATAACACTTTCGATTTGATGACGTTAAAAATAACATTAAAATTTGAATAATCGTGTTAGATTCGAAAGTGTATCAGTTGTGTGAAGATCGCACAGCGTGAAACTCTAAGTAACAACATGTTTCAGATTCTGTTTTAATATTTCTAAATTGGACAACAAGAAACTATTTCTATTTATCGTAAAAAAAATGGAAACTGCATCTTTAAATGCACTTTAATTTAAACTTAGTAATGATTTTTGTTATAATTTGAGAGTGATGTTTATAAACAATGTTAAATGGAATTGGTGCTAAAGTGCCATTTCTTTATGTGTTAATGAACTCAAGATAACATGACAGTCTAGACTAGGTGGTATCCTGAGAATTAAATTTGCCTTGTAAAAATGAAGTTATCGCTCCACCCTCTAGATAACAATGTTCTAGGTCATTTCAATAAGATTTCATTTTGAGTTTTATGGGCTGTTGGCGTAGGTGTTGAGCTTACCGCTCGTTTTTCTAATGAAACAACATCAGTGATTTGCCACCTAGTCTCCCTGAAAGTCAGGTCGGTTCAGTCATACTCTTCATGATCAGGGATGATCATTGGTGTTAAAAAAGGTTGGGGGTGACGCTTAGTCGGGCAGACATCCTTTCATGGAGAGAGGTCCTAGAAAACGGCAATTCTATCACTTTCTGAGGATGAGAATCGAAAAAGGTCCATCATCAATTAAAAAAAACAAGCTGGAAATGGAGATAGGTGGCATAGATAAGATGGTTAACATTGGTTAAGAAGGGCGTTACGTCATAGATAGTCAGCAAGTTATCTTACAATGGACATCTCTATCCATTAATGAGTTTAAATTTAAAAGCGAGAACATAATATCAGTAATCCAGATTGAGAAATAGAATTTCTAACTTCATCATTGTACCAATCAATTTCAATTATACGTGTGTTCTTCCGATTATCTTTGTGGCTTCAATCGCGGAAACTGTTCTTTCAATTTCCACGTTATTGCTAATGAATAGTTTAAAGCAGAGGTTTTCAACTTGGGGACAATTACCCCTAAGGAGCTCATTAATTTGAGAATTTTGGGGGAAAATGAGGTGCTCTGCCCCCCACCCCCTCCCCCCAAAAACAGCTTCAAAATTAACCATAAGGAGTATTACCCCAGGCACTAGGGACTACAATGTTATCAGTGATTGCTTGAGATCGTGGTGGTATGCATGTTACAAGCTCAAAGGTTAAATTGACTTTTTTACTTTGATGTCTTAGTAGAGTTTCCAACTTCCTTAAGTGCTGGTAGTCAAATGTTATAAGCCCTCCTGTGTGACTAAAAGTGCATAGTATTAGCCAAATAAATATGTACATCAATTGTAGAGTGATATAAAAATACCAAAACAGAGCCTGAAACATGTTGTAAGTCAGATCTTCAGACATCGCACAGAGTTACAAGATGATCAAGTTGTGATTTAGTATTTCTAGTATAGTTTCAAAATACGAGGTAATACAGTCAGCGTCATTCGCCTGTCATCTTTTTTCGCATTTTCGACCTGTATCACGGTATCTTTAACGTGTACAACCTGTTGTGTACGGTACTTCTGTGTATTGTACCATACGAGCAACAATACGCTTTTTCCATATTATCCGACATTACTAGAATGCAAATTGTGAAAGCAATTGGTTTAGAACGGTTTTGTTGATTTCTCGTGGGAAATCAACATTGAGGTCATTTAGACATGTTGATTTGTCATTTTAAAACACAACTGCTCATTTGCAGTGTCATTGTGTGCTCTTTGGCGATTTCTCTTGATCATCCGAATGTAATAGTGGACTTTTTTTGCATTACGGTGAAGTTTACATCCTTTTAATTTCGCTTCTGATTAGTCTATTGAAAATAATGGTTAATAAGTGACATTTTGCTAACCTAACTGTCGAGGGAACTTTAATGTACACAGTCTGTGGCAAACAGGGCGTCAGTTATTGTTCCTTAACGTATGCCACGGCACGGTATGTCATGATTTCACAAGATAAAAACAGTAAACGTGAAATATTATTGGACTCGATTCCTTTGATTGGCCTTGTTATTTCATAAACCACCTATATATCACCTTGGTTTAAGGTTTCACAATCTACACTAAATAAACTGTAGTTGTTTGTGTATTTTTTTAACCACCATCTGTTGGGACATGTTTGAATTATGAAAATAAACCGTTTTGTGGTGTGTAAGCTCTTGTAAGTAAACATGTAGCTTGATTCTGACAAGGGTGTTGGTTAATTTAAGCTCGATTTACATGGTATATTTTTTTACTCACAAGCATGGGCTGAGACAAACACATGTGAACATAATTGTGAGAAATGAAAAAAACAAAAGTCAAAAATAGTTTCACATAAGAAAGCAAAAATATGAATATATCTATCTAGTACCTATATATGTTAACAGTATGCTAATGCTAGTAGTGTACCCAAGTTAACGGTGTATCGATACCAGTAGTGTAAAAGTGTTATAGTGTACCATTAAAAATAATAGTGTAAGTATACACAATGTTAATAGAATACCAATATTAGTGTACCAATGTTAACAGTATACCATCATGCTAGTAGTGTACCTATATTAACAGTATACCATCATGCTAGTAGTGTACCTATATTAACAGTATACCATCATGCTAGTAGTGTACATATATTAACAGTATACCATCATGCTAGTAGTGTACCTATATTAACAGTATACCAACATGCTAGTAGTGTGCCTATATTAACAGTATACCAACATGCTAGTAGTGTACCTATATTAACAGTATACCAACATGCTAGTAGTGTACCTATATTAACAGTATACCAACATGCTAGTAGTGTACCTATATTAACAGTATACCAACATGCTAGTAGTGTACCTATATTAACAGTATACCAACATGCTAGTAGTGTACCTATATTAACAGTATACCAACATGCTAGTAGTGTACCTATATTAACAGTATACCAACATGCTAGTAGTGTATCTATAATCAAATTGGGAAGAAGAGACTATTAGGGTGTAAATCTATCAAGACGATATCAGAATAAACTCTTAGTGAACCTTTATTATGATCGACGTATAGAACTCTGTTATCACTGTTATCAAATTATTATGATAGAAAGGTCCACTGTGCACATCAAATTTCCAGATAAATTTTATAACTATGATATACGAACTCCAGTGCCCCCCAAGTGATAAGCCTATTAATAATAAAAAAAAATGTTTCATCTTCAAACTATCACTAATCCTGCCTTATACCTTGCTAGCAATAGCCATAATTCTTGCATCACGGAAGTTTGTACATGCAGCTATTTGATTGGGTTTTACGCTAGCTAATTTAATCAATCAGAGCTCTCGACAGATATCTATGATTCGGTCTTTGAGGGCTTTGATTGGTTGCATTCGCTGGCATACGATCTAATCAAATCGCTACATTCAGTGATTCTATTGCAGCAAAGGCATAAGACGAACGTAATAGCTTGAACATTTCGAATGATTCTCTTGTTGATTAGAATCTTTACGCAAAAAATCATTTCTAGACCTACATAAGTTATCGCCGCTGTTTCCGCCAAATTTTCGACATGGCATAATTATTGATGACGTTTGGCTCTGAAAAAAGAATTCATGATTTGATGAATCTGTTTGCCAAATCTCACGGAACGTATGTCTCAAAATTTTTTTCAATGGCGTTGATTTTCTCTTGTGTTTACATAAAAGGCTTCATTCCAGTCGGAGTATTTACATAATATTACAAAATCATCGATGAAAAAAATATTATCTTTCCATTTTCCCGTCTTTTGAAATCTCGGATGAATTCTTTACTTAAGCCGAGTCTCATCATTTTTGATTCATTTTGTTTCATTTTCTGCAAATCGTAATCAAATATTTTATTACCTTCATGTTTGAAGAGCTAAATGGGAATTACGACTCCAATGCAGACTTGCATGTGATAACATGATATTCTAATAGTGATGGGAAGAAATGACAAAACTGAGCGATGAATTGAAATTGGACAAGGATTTTGAATTTTTAAAGTAAAGGAACTAGCCTAGTATAAAACTGCTCATAACCAAACCAAAAGTACGGCATTTCGAAAATGTCTACGTTGAACCTCTCTTCTTCTGATTCGAGAGTAATTTCTTACTCTCTGTTTGTCTTCCAAGTATCTAGAGATTTTTAAGTGTACAGATTAAGGCCTTATTAATTTCCAAAATGAATCCTGAAACGAGTTAATAAATTTTGTCGCATACCATACCATCTCTGTGTGTGCTGTACCTTTATCGGGAAAAACAATTTCAATCATTCATTTCCTTGATATAATTTATTTGCTATATTTCAGGTATTTGATGCTGTGATAGTTTTAATATCATTTTTAGTTGATTTGATATTTCTAAATCGTCTGCCTAATTATGAAATCCAGGATTTTGTTTTTATTCTCGCCTTTTTATTACCATGGAGAGTGATGAGAGTTGTAAATAGTAAGTATAACGTATTTTTTTAAAAAGTGGCATGGATATATATATTAAAATTAGACGAAAAGTCTCGTTCCCTTTTCTTTTTTCATATACCAACTTCAGTTATGGTCTGAAGACGGACCTCCTGGCTTAACCTGGTGACCTTTACCTTATCCAATCAAATTCCTTGTCTCTCTCTCAAAATCTCAGCGCTGGGTCATTAGGCTAGGTCAAATGTTATTGTGACGAATGTTTAAGGACTCGTTTGTAGACCCTAACTTTGGTGGCTATATTAAAAAGAAATTCTAATAAAAAGGATCTGTGAAACCTCAATTGTTTTCCGTTTGTTATTTGATATCGATGATGCTGATCTCCAGCAATTCCTCAAAAAGTGTTGTGTAATAGTTTCAACTATTGCCACTTTCAGGCAATACATTCTCACGAGCAGATATTGTCGAGTGTCTTAGTTGAATTTCAATCTGATAGAACAATTGAAATTACCTAGCTCCATCAATTGGTCGACTTCGACCGTCAAACATTGAACTATGAATCAAAATTGGTTTGTTACAAAGATCTGGGCAATACATTTCTAACGGAAGCTTCTCACCTCACATTAAGACTAAGCCTATAAGTATAACTTAAAACCATATCCAGGAAGTAAGGCTTGTACTACTTTCGTTTTCCCTTTTGTTGGAATCAAAACAACACTTTCTGAAGCTTGTAAATAAACCATAAAAGCTTTCCTTGACAACGATTTCAACAGACATTCGTCGTCAATACCAAACAAACTCGATCATTCTTTTTGTTTTCATACACGAATGGTTTTAATTGCATTCCATAGTTTCGATAGAGTGGTTTCAAATTCTACTTAACAAATCAAGACTATTATTCTAATATTATTATTTTCTTTTGAATTTTTCTATAAACTTAATTATACTCCGGACGAAAAGAAACGATCGTAGTTTAGATTAAATAAAAAATTGTTCAATAGCCAACTTGAAGAGTCATTGTAACCAACGTATAATTAATATTTCATCAGAATTCGATCAATAGACATTTTCAAACTATTTTTGGTTAGTATATCGCACTATGCTTGATGAATTAGTCAATACTCTGAACACTTATCAGCTAAAATGTTGAAGGATTGTGTTAAAGTTTAGAGTACGACGGGCAAGAACTTTCGAATGTAATAGAAACGTATTTCGGTTTTAAAAAGCAACATAAAATAGCAAACAGTCATTAATGAAATTTCACACAAAGAATTTGGCAGCGTCATTGAAAAATTGTAAACGTTCGAAGCGTCCGTTTCAGTTCGCCACACTAATGGTACGGTTGATTTGCATTGATGTCGAGTCAACTTGTAGATCCTACCCCAACATTTAGATTCAGCCCTACCCCTGGCAACCTTGAGCGAGCTACAAGCCTGTAGTGGCATCATATTTTGCAGATGAGTGACAATATCGAAATGTAGATACCTATTCGTTTGTAGGCTACTTCGTATAGATGGTTTCCCTCCTTTCTTTGGATTGCCTTAAAAAGTACATGTACTATCAAAATTGGAGACTATATACCATTATTAATGATTTAAGTCTTAATTCCGAATGTAGCAATCGTTGACCCACTTTATTTAATTATGTTTGGTTTTGATAATAAAGCATTAATGCTTGTGGAATTTTGTGGCTTAGTGATAATAATGTTTTAATACTATCGAGAGATGCTTGGTAATTTTCTTCAGCGCCAAGTTGGCACCTCGTTTAAGAGAGCTCAATAGAATTTGCCATATTACTCCTATAAAATATGTATGATTTTTATAAGTATAAAGCATGCAACAACCGGCAAACGAGATTTAAATTATACCAATCCAATAAAGAAATATAATAGATATTTACTAATCAAATTAAGATACATGTAATATGATTATATGATGTGTATCTTTATGGCTATAAACTAAATACATAGAGAAATCATTTTTACTTAATTTAACCAGTGGATTGCATGATTGAAAAAGCCAGGTCAATGAGATGTACGAATTGTTCAGTACAAAACATCAAAACGTTAGGAAACGTCCATTTGCCATCCGTTTGACCAATTGTACGTTAGTCTTACAAACGGGATTTTGTTTCTTTTAGCTAAGTTAATCAGTGTTAATGCTCGCCATCGAAATGTGAGCCTTCAAATCCATGTGTCCAGATTTGTTCACGTTTGTAAGTCAAAATGACGACTCTCCATTTCTTGAGACACAAACAAAAAATATATTATACAAATAGAAAATGAATTTCCTCGTTTGGGTAATTGTTTTAAAGAAATTGTGCGATTTTCGTAAATTACTAGTACACGTGAAGACTATTTACATATAATAAAGACCTAAATCATCCCTCGAATCTGTTCATAAATTTTCGTTAATGTGCTATATTTTAGGTTTGGTTGTAGCAGTAAAGGACCACGAACATTTCAGATTAAAACTGGTTTATAGCAGGAAAAAGAAAATACAGAATAGCTTGAAGGAATCCGAGATTAAACTTCAAGTTTTTAAGGTAATTTAATTATGAAAGATAATGTTATTTGATAGATAATACAATCTCAAAGGCGTTTGACGTTTGACGTGTGTTCAGAATTAACAACAATCGTTGACATTAGTACAGCTGAGGACAATAGTTATAATACTATTCAATGTACTCAACCTGGTTAAAATGCAAATCTGGATATTTCGTTTCGTGTAAAGCTTGAGCTTGAGTTTCGATTATGTACACAAGTTATCACAACTTAAAGCTTGAGCTTGAGCCTGAGCTTGAGCTTGAGTTTGAGTTTGAGTTTGAGCCTGAGCCTGAGCCTGAGCCTGAGCCGGAGCTTGAGCTTGAGCCTGAGCCTGAGCCTGAGTTTAAGCTTAAGCTAAAGCTAAAGCTTAAGCCTGAGCCTGAGCCTGAGCCTGAGCCTGAGCCTGAGTTTAAGCTTAAGCTTAAGCTTAAGCCTAAGCCTAAGCCTAAGCCTAAGCCTGAGCTTATGTACACAAGTAATCCCAACTTAAAGCTGTATTATATTTTCTATTTGATTTCAGTTACAATGTAACGCACTACGTAAACTATGCATATCAGAAGGTGTAGATGAATGGAAAGTTGAACAATTATTAAAGATTGATGAATACACCGTCAGTAAGTATAATAACTTCTATCCGTCATCACCGTCGTCATCATCATCATCATCTTGAGCATCATTAGCACCATCTTCACGGTGTCAAGCTATTACGAACTGCGTCTTATACCTTGACTACATAAGACCCCTTAATGCAGCGATGTGATTGGATTGTACCCAGCGAATATAGCAAATCAGAGCCCTTGACTGGAAGACTAAAAATTATAGCTTTTTGAGAGCGCCGATTGACTGTTTCTCTAGCCTACAATCCAATCAAATCGCTGCATTTACAAATTGTGTGATACGAGAATAGTGGTCATTGCAGTTAAGTATAAGACGAAGTTCGTATTATAGCTTGACAATGTTGAGATGCATTATCACCACCAGCAGCCACACGGTAGACATTGGTGTCTGTTACGACCCAAAACTTGATAATGACTTGCTTTTTGCATTTGAATTGCTGCTAATTTCGACACATTTACTAAGACTTTCTATCATGCTAGTGAAATTCGTATGTTTTTTTAATCTCATGGAGCATCAAAGACATCAGAAATATCAGGATTGGGCTAACCGTTGGTTGTAACTTGAAGAAGATCCAATATTGCTCACCTTTAAGATCAATGGGTAAAACATTATTTCAATCGTCCAGGTGTATGATAAGGTCCCACTGTTGGAGAAAGTAAATCTGGAGTAACTGATGACGAATGACGACAACCGCTATTTTTCAATCGTCGGTGCGCTTGTGTCGTCTAATTCTAGTGAATGATAAGACTCCCAGATGCCGCTAGTTGCTACAGTAGTCGTTGAAAACCAGTTGCTCTCATATTTTCCTAGTCGCCAGGTCGGCCTGATCCACCCTGTGGAGGTTTCTGTTTTAAATTATGAATTTGAATCGCAAAGAAACTGACTTTTGTTTTCTATATTTCAGATAAAAGTGGTAAAAGTAAATATAAAATAAAAATAGACAATACTTCTGTGATGCTAATCAATGATAAAAACGATATCCCTCGTTTTTCTCCTCGTCCCTCATTACATAACATACTGGATATTCGAGGACGTAGCGGACTAGTCCCTTGTATCGAGGAAGACGAACCCAATGGCTTTCAGAATTTCAAGAAAAAGCCAGATCCTAATAAACTCAGTCCAGGAAAAGCATCAATATCCTCAAATCATAGCAAATAATTCCATATGGTGGAATACTCGGTGTATGGGAGACCACTCCTAATAGCAATGCCAGCAACTGAAGCAATTAGCGTTTTCAATACCGCTACTTTTCGTGAAAACATATTACTTTGGAAAAGCTCAAGGTCACGAACTATCTTGTCGATTACGTTTCCGTGCGTCTAAAGCATCTATCCCAGTTGTATTTTGACATTATCTAAATTATTCCCAACTTGAAATTCTCATCTGGCCCAGAACTGGCATATGAGCGTATATGTTATATGAACTAGGGTGCTCAACCTAACTGTATTTGACCAGATCTGGCCAGTCCTAGCCCAAGATCAACCAGACCTGGACCAGAAGGGTTTTGCTAGCTGGATTTGTAATGGTAAGACCCTCTGTCTTGAAAATTGACCCAACCGGAAGTTAGTTATTGGATGAAAATTAGTCAAATAACATTAGAGATCACAGATTTTCATAAAGGGGAGAACAATTCGTGAGTCCAATACCATCTGTAGCATAGAAAGCATATTTCTTTGTTTCGTTATATTTTGAAAAAGTTTGTGATTCTATAAAAATGATGGCACTTAGGGCCTATTTTTTAGTTTTATAGTTTCGGTCCATTTCCTAAAAATCTGTTTTCGATAATCTATACCAAACTTTCCGGTAATGTTACTACTTCCGGTTGGCCACTGTCTCTTTGCAAGAGTGTCTAAACTATAGTCCATATTGTAGCCTACATGACAAATGGTATGCAATAGCTGTTGTAGTTGTTGTTTTGTATATTTGTATATAAATTCCTTAAGTTATGATTACACAAACTGTACATATTTTTTATAAAAACAATTTTCATTGTTTTTAAAACCAATCGGGTTGTTATGATTTTATAACGTTTTGTTATTTCAAATTTTGTTAGTTTGTTGGTCACTTTTAAGCAAATTAATCCAGATAGATCCAATTTTGGTAATATTCAAATTAATCATAAGCAATATTATAACATTCATCAAAGTAAAAAAAAATCAAAAGGGTCAAATTATTCAAGTCTATTTCCGCTGTTTCAAATGTAGGCCGTGTTATCTAGACAATAAAAAAATGAAAAACTAGAATCGTGAACGGTACCCATGCAGTGCGTATCCGACCTGATACAATGGTGAAACGTTGCATTTTCAAAGTCAAAGTGGGATTTTTTTATGGGAGCCTTAAAAGTTTTGAAAATTGCTGTTTTCGACGTCTGTAAAAGCGGACGTATATGTCGGACATCAAAGATCAAAGTATGAATGGACATCCTTCCGCTTTGACAGACGACCGAAAACCACAAATTTTCAAAACTTTTAAGGTTCATATCTATATCGCTCAATATCAATTGATGTATTGAGCACTATTTTAACAGTAAGAAATTTTTGTTATTATTATAATCTATATTATGTACAGTTAAATTACACTCAGACTTCTTTCTTTCCAAATAGCTTGCACGACAAAGCAACACACGCCCATATGGCAGCTTTCTATAAACAATATTATTCATATGATTTGAATTAGGTGATTAGATGTTAACATTTTCTTCACTTTTTTTATTAATATATATTTTTTTATGTCGAAGTACAAAATTTGTAACCTTGCAATAGTTGCATAATAATGATGAATATATTTCCAACTTTTCAGATAGCTGTAATAAAAGGGATTTTTTTTTTGCATGTATATCGGGGACACTTACAGCTTCTAGCACCATTCAGATGATTTCCCATCTGACATTTGTGGTTTTTAGTCCCGACAACCTTAGGCAGGTCATGACGCCACTGTCGCAAATAAAAGTACCATTAATGTTCTTGAATTTTGGTGGTAAGTGACAGTGACTGCATGCATAATCTGATAATCAATTATAGAAAACACAGACGCCAAACGGAAGAGGTTTAGAACACGGCTCAAAGTGTCGCTGATACACATGCAGAGTCTAAAAAACCTATCTTGAGCCCCTTTAACAAATTTTCAGAAGTATAAAGTTTTCTTTCTCACCACCTATTTCTTACTCCGATATTAATGGCGATGGAAGCGTGGGATACTTTATGACAAAGACATTGGTTCTGCATAATAGTAGTATAGTGGTAGTTTTCTTACCGTAGTGTTTATATTTGTTCGGAATTTATATCGAAATGATCCAATTTGAAGCTATTTTTATTTTTAAGTCTCAAAATCCATTTGAATCAAATAGAGCACATTGCAATACAAAGTCGAAAATTGCAGTGTAGCTTGTGATCCATGACGTCCTTGTATATCATTCAAAGGGGAGTTCAAATGGTATGACAAAATAACAACAAAATATATTATGCTTTACTTGAAAACAAATTGAATGTATTATCTTAATTTTGCTCACTTCTGTAAATATTTCAATATGCCATTAGCCATGACATTCAAGTTGGATTCCCCTATTCAGCAGTTAATTGGATACAATTTTTTCTTTATAAGTTGTAATATAATTTATAACAACGGGTGATAACGATTTTTGTTAGATTGTACATTGTATTATCCGTGCATAAAATAAAACTATTAAAAAACATCATGGTTTTATACCACGTTGTAACTTAGACTGGTTTTGTGCTATTCCCTTGTCCTTCCACGTATTAGTGAGTCATGGCCGCCGCCAATAGCCGCCGCTGTCGTCGATTTCAGTTCAACCAGAATTTGCTAGGTTGTGCACGGAAAGCCTGGCCAATTTAAAGGGGAATTGTGTTTTTTTTCGTTGATCGAAAACTTTTCAACACTATACTGGAATGCAATACAAGCGTTCTTCTAGAAATAAAACAACTCAAGCCTGCTTGTTTTTAAAAAAATTGAAAAAAAAGATAAGTTATTTCTCCACCAACAGCATTGGTGTGCCAGCTTGATCCAAGTGTAATGATTATTTTGTTTTCTGCAAAAGAAGCATATGACCATGTATTTAAAAAATGCCAAACAAGTTGAGTTGAAAATCGGTCAGTCATCTACTTCAGTACCAGATGATGAACCAGGGCCGCCAACTAAAAGTGCCAAATTAGCACGGTTTGCAGAAATGTCTGTTGCGGAGTGAAGTCACTGTGATGATGAGCTCCGTCAGTAGTTGACATATGAACTTACAAATGATGAAACCAAATCGAAAAGACATGAAAAATTATACTCTGTGATTTCCGATACCTGAGTACTCCGACAGTCTGCACCATACGACCTATTTTTTGGTCCCCATTAATTTCCTTCTTACAAAAAACCTCTGCGTACTTCACGTATTACGACACTTATCAGTGACCCTACAGGCCTGTATAATCCGACATCTAGTTATCTTAATCTCTTATTGCCAATTAGATAATCGCTTATTTTATTGATTATCCGGATCAAATCACTTGAAAACAAAAGATCGCTGATATCAATTCTGCTGATAATCACCGCCATTGGCCTCAAGATCAAAGTTAAAACAAATGGCTTGAAAAACGACGATTTTGTTTTTCTTTTACACCGCTATAGGCTCATATCCCCTAAATTGATAGGGATTAACTTTTGTCTTAGGATGACCAAAAATTTATTTTTTTTAAAAAATGTGTCTTTGTTCATTAGTGGACTTACCATGTGTCAAAACTATAAGACAGAATCCCTCTATAATCTAATAAATCCATTGCACTAAGTAAAAATTCATTAAACTAAGTACGTATGTAATTCTAAGCATGTATCATCAATCACTTAGTTTAATGTATATATCGTCTTATATAGAGATTTTATTCTTTAGTCATGGTACCTGGTAAGTCCAAATGATGAATATAATGCGCGTGTTGACCAAATTTCAGACTTTAAATTGTATGTCTATCCGAAGAGGTAGTATCCTGTAAAAGACACCACATCTCAAGTGATGATATAGATATTGATAGTGTTATATTTTGTTAGACTAGATATCCAAAATTATCGTCTCCTTTTTATAATCTATTTATCTACCCCTAAACTATGATACGTATCAACCACTAGGTAACATTTTCTTTGCTATTGTATATTGTTATGTAATATCTCGACTATATATTGAATGTTTTATGTATTGTAAAATAAGACTTTAAATATTGTTTGAATAAAGTTCTGATTCAGAATTAATAGTTATATCTTCAGTGTTAGTATATCAACAAAAGCTACATCACTCCCGGAATATAACGCTTCCATAATCTTCTAGTCTATTGTAAAGGTAATTAATTAATCAATTTTCAGGCAGGGGATAGATTAGTGAAATTCATACGTATCTTTGAAGGAATTGTGCAATCTTGGTACAATTCTGGTATATTCTGAAGACAATTTACATAAATTGAAGGGTCAACGTTTAATGGATAGATCGTCTTATATAGAGATTGTATTCTTAAGTCATGGCATCTGGTGAGTCCAACTGATGAATATACTGAATACACTAATCTTGTTGACTAAGTTTGAGATATTAAATTTTATGTCCATTCTAAGAGGCAGTATTCCTTTAAATACTAACAGTAGATTTTCACAAATATGAAGCGGAAATTTGAATATTGAACACCACAAGGCAAAATCATATCTCTAGAACAGTGAAATTGGAGCCTGGGGGATTTAAAATGTTTACGTTAATAGACAAATCTGTTTTATTACTCTTTGTGACTAAACGCTTGGATATTTTTAGTTGAAACTTTCTAAACAGGTAATGGATATATTCCTCTTTATTTTTCATGTTTCTATGTTGTCTACATGCTTGCGTAAAAAATATCAAATCACATTTAGGGTGCTCTTCGAAGAAATCAAGATGGACAATATTAAAATATTTAAAAATGATCATTTTTCTGTCTTTACAAAGCGAAATATGAACAACATTTATATTTCAAACTGATGAACTGTTTCCACGTCTAAGTTTCCATTGACTTATGTTGTTATTGGCCATGAAAACTAGAATTTACCCGTTGAAGATAGTACTTTTGTACGTAATCCTATGCCGCAAAAATCTCCCACCTTCACAAAGTTGGAAACAATAAATTACAAATATTGTAGTTAATAAAATGAGATGATTCCACCCAATTTGGCTTTTACCATGATTCAACATCAGTAAGTTCTTATTTGCAAAGTAAAACGCTAAGTAAAATGCTTAGTAAAACGCTAATTAAAATGCTCAGTAAAACGCTAATTAAAATGCTTAGTAAAACGCTAAGTTATTTTTTTTAACCTATAATGTTTTAATTGTTATGTATAGTGTCTCATAAGTCCTCACCGGCTGGCATCTTAATAATTTTGTTTTTATGTATTTGTGCAATGTATTTTTGTAAAGATGGTGACACTGATTAAAATTAATTATTATTGCAGGGCGTTCTTCTCCGCTTTGTTTTCGTAATTGTTATTTTTTTTTCGTCAGCTAGGGAGCTTATTTCTCGGAACTAGAAATAGGTACGACAAAACGGACTTCATGACATTTTCTAGCTCGTGGCTATTCAATGTAAAACAAAAATGTTCTGCGCAACCGGAAGTGAGATAGCAAAAAAATAGGAAATGGACTGTAGAGGGCGTATTTATCGTTCGATTTGCTCGGGTTTCCTTTATTATAATTTTTAGAAAAAAGGACATATGATAGCAGTTGAAAATATTCGATTTTCCAAAATTCGTTCGATACTTTTTTTTGTCGAAATTAATCGAAAATTTTTATTTCGGTTGCTTTTTGACCGATCGATTTGAAATTTTTATGGCGTAGACTGTCGGTATGGGCAAATAATTCTACATAGTCAAAAAATGTTTATCAGTTCCGGTTTCGATATTAGTACTTCCGGTGGCACCACTTCCGGTGAAATTGAGTTATGTCAGAAATGACATATACATAAACTTACTGTCACTAATACAAAGTGTTACAACTAAAAAAATTCGTACCGGAAGTAACATATAGGTCGCCATATTGGTTTGCCTCAATATGCAAAACTTGCTATTTCGGAGCTATTTATTATCCGATTTGAACAATTTTGGTGTCAATTGATAGAATTAACGTTTATCTAAAACTTGTTGAGGACAGAATTTGATTTTCGGTTTTGCCTTTTTTGGTCCATTTTGAACCTTTGCAGTGCTGTATCTCGTAGCCTAATAGTGATATATCAATAATTCTTTCGATCTCATAATGCTGAGATTCTGAGCTTTCCAGTGATATACAACATGTCTATGTAACATGCATATTTGAAAATTCTATTCGTTTAACATTGTGGTATCAAATTTAAGTTGGTTAATGAGATGTCAGTATAGATAAAATTCCTGAGTTTGACATGTCCGTTAAAGTACCATTCTCCCCTATTTCTATCAGAAAGTTCGTCAACTCCAGGCACTTGTATGGTTGTATGGATGTATGGATATCTGACTGTCTGGATGACTGACTGACTGGATATCTGCATGTCTGGGTGACTGGATGCCTGGATCGTTGATTGGCATGGAATTTCGTATGATTGATTGTCCTCTATCTTTTCAGAATTAAATCAAGATGATTTATCCTCGATCTATATACTTCCTACTCATCGCCTTTCCTTTCTTTGTTATATTCCTGTTTTTTCGATATCAGTCGCCATTTGATCTACTACCACATGTTGAAAACGAAACTATGCTCCCCAAAATAAGCATGATACAACAAATGAATAAAGAAAAAGAAAGTATGCTCCAACAAATAGCGAAAGAGAGAGAAAGTATGCTCCAACAAATAGCGAAAGAGAAAGAAAGTATGCTCCAACAATTGAAAATGAAACAAAAAGAACCAACCGTTTCTCAAAACATTGGAGTAAATGATTTGTGTACATTGATTGATAAAGGTGAATTATATATTTTTTTGAGGTAGCATGAAATTTATGTATTACAATAGAAGACTCCAATCGTGTATTTATTGGATTTACATAAATATACATTGTGTATCACTCCTTATTATATATTCCTATAGCAAAGAGTTGAAGTTCGTAGACATTATCAAATTCATTGAATTACTTTTACTTAAAGATCGGTTCCCTCATTTTCATTTATGAAAATCAAAATGCTAATACTCATATGAATAGAATGTAGAGGTGTTCTAATAAGTTGGAAAAATACCAGTTTGTCGAATTAATTCATAATTAGCTAAATTAGAAGAGAATTACCAGCAGAATTCGAATGAGTGACCGATCAAAAAAAGGTCAACAAGTCTTTTTTAGTTTATCCAGACTGTACATACATGGACATTTATGATTAGTCAAAACTTAAATTATATGCAATATAAGAAAATAATGATATTAGAAAGAATATATGCTAATTCATTATAATCAAATAGTTTGATTAATTTGACACTAAAAAATAAGGAAACCCATCTTTAATGTTTCCCGCACCAAAACGGATCTGAATTTACAACCAATCAGATTTCAATAGCCACTGTAGGCTTGGTCAATTACAAAGATTTTAAGCAACCTCCAGGCCATCTTTTGTCGAAGCTTTGCATAGAGGCTAAATGCCAGGGGCTTAGTCAGATGGTCATCCCAGATATCACAAAACCTTCATTATTTATAATGCTTATGTTTTCAGTATATTATTTTGTCATCAGTTTATTTAAGTTATTATACAGTGGTGTAACCTATTTTCGTGGATATAAGGATATAAGTTAAAAAAACCAATTTTTTTTTTATGTCTTAGATGTTTCCTCAGATATTCTACAAAATAATCAAAATTGGTTTATTTCGATTTTCTTTATGAATCCTTCACTTTGACCCATATTTCATGAGCAACCAACTCGCCAACGGTGGCAGAATGCGTCACCTATTTTCGTGTACAATGTTTGATCCATAGATAAGTCTAGAAAAACATGTTGTATGGATACCGGGTGGTATAATTAACTTCTCTTAGTATTTATCTTTAATATCAATTCATTATAATTAGTGACAATTCCTTCAAAGAACCACGATTTAAAAAAAAAAACAGTGACTGACAAAATAAGATACGTAGCGAGATTTATTGCTAAAAGTCACTGAAACAACATAAGAATATGGCCCGCTTTGTGTTCCATAGAATTTTTCTGCTGACACGGAATCCGCTAGTTGATCACGTGACTTCATTCGTTGGACTATATTCTAGCAGACGACACTTGGAATTCCGATTACCGCTTGGGATTATAAGGAAATTCGGCCGATAAAAAATGGTGACGTTTGGTAATAAGTGAAATCCGCCATTTTGTATTTGTCAAAGTATACATTTTACCTTGCTTGAAACTACTGGATTCATTCTACTAGCTGACATTGTACAGAAAACCCATGTTTATCAAAGCAAACTAATGCGGAGGTCGCGCAAGGTCGTTCATGTAAATTATTAAACATTTCCGGAAATCCACGAATAATAGGTTTCCACGAAATTAGGTTACTTGACTAGGTTACTTGAAATATACAGTATTAAACTACGCTCGTATACAGGTCGGAAGTGAAATGAGATGAACGGAGTATTACGTCCTACTTTTCTGCACCATGTGGTCTAATGAAGACGGGCAACGTCATTTAGGGTGCAGGGTGAGGGAAATTTTTGCCAGGACAGCCGGCATTAGCCTGCTCTTTTTCGATTTCCAACTGTCGAAAGGTCTTCATTAGCCCACATGGTGCAGAAAACTAGGACGTAAAACTCCATTCATTTCATTTCTGATACAAAAAAGGCACACGTCGATGCCATGTATGGTTAGGTATTTTAAGTTAAATGTGTTTATATTTTTAAGGTATTGCAGTTGACTCTTGGTGGAAATATGTCTGTTTGATTGAAAGGTAATTATTACGCCCTATACTTCCAGTCTTTTCCTGGCTTATCTGTGAATCATTTGGTAGTTGGGATCTGAAAGATTTGATGCAGAATTGACAAGGGGGTACTCACCAGGCAATAAAGTGCTCAATGATTAAAATTTTGATAAAAACTAAGAGTGTTGGGGGGGGGGGGGGGGTGGTTCAGCTCCCAATTGTGAAGTGAAAGCGTGTTCTTTATCACACATTGTATTCATTTAAGAATATTGGATACATTTTCATGATTATCCACCAATTCTGTTTCTTTCAATCACTGTATGAAAGATAATGATGATATGAATGTGTAAAAATAAAAATATTTTGTTGTAGGAGCATCGACAAGCCTGTAGGTTATAATTGTAAAGATGCTAAGAACATGGGAAATTGGAAAATTTGTTTTGATGAAAAATACAGCCCGATTCGTCCAGATAAACCCTGTCTAGTTTATTCATTTGGGTAAATATTACTTAGTTTTGCTCAATTCAGGGTCGTAACTAGATACAGGCAAATCAGACAAACCCCATACCACACTGGGTAGTTCGTTCATGGAAATAACACACACGAACGTAAATCACAGCCATTTTGAATCTCTACCTAAATAATCGAATGTTTTAAAAAGGTTATAATATTTCAACAAAGCATTCACATCACATTTAAAGCAAATTTCTGAAAACCTTTAAACATGATTTGTTAGAGTTTATAAGTTATCGATAACAATTTTCCATATTATACTACTGTACGAAGTCGATATTCATGTTTAGATTGGAATGAAAGAAATTACTTTTGTATTGCAGTTCGACATTAATACGATATCTGGAGATCCTGATATTTTTTGGTGCCTATATATGCCGATTAAATGTGAACACATTTTTGTCAAATAATAACTGGTTTTTCGATCTGTTTATTTTAGGATTGCTGGGGATTTTACTTTTGATGAAGCTATGGCTAAAAAAGGTTGTGAGGTGTATTCATTCGATCCAAGGTGATAGAAACAAATGAAAAATCTATGCTATCAGTGTCCCTAATACACATATGTTTTTATACAAAAACTACCACAATTCGCATTGCTGAAATAACAGACGTGTCTCTAGAAAATAAGTTTTTGAATGGAATTGGAAGGAGTCTGTCTCATCAGCTAAATGATTAACCTTCTAAAATTGATAAATAATCATAAATTGTTACCATCACTTTCAGCATGGGACTCGAAGACTACACACATAGTAAAAATGTTTACTTTAAAAACATTGGGTTAAGTCACGTCGATGATGATAATTTCTCACCAAGATTTGATATTTATGTCAAGAAGCCTCAGATTTGGAAAACTCGTACACTGAGATCGGTTATGAAAATGTTAAAGCACGAAAAGGTAGGTTTAGATCCGGGTTAGAGAACGGTTATGAAAATTCTATATCATATCATGAAATGGTAAGCTTGGGCCCAGTAGCTTAAATAATTAAACCTCTTGGTCTAGGCCCATGTTAGAACTCGGTTGTGAAAATGTAACACCATGAAAAGATGAGTCACGCCCCGGGGTGAGGTCGGTTATGAAAATGTTACACCATGAAATGGTAAGATTAAGATCGGTTTGAGCTCATTTATGAAAAAGCTACCTTTTCGATTGATTTTTATAACGGGCATTGTGAAAGTACATGTTCCCTTAGCATAGGCCAAAATTGCACTATGCACCAGATCCTGTTCAGTTCCTATGCTACCAGCTTTCCAAAATCTGTGGCTAATATACGTTACTAACATAGAGACGGATGCATCAAGCATGATGTAAGCTGTCTGAAAAGAAAACTCCATTTCATTTTATTAAATTGATAATTTTCAGAGAGTGATAGACGTATTGAAATTTGATATTGAGCTAGCTGAATGGAAGGTTATGATGAATATAATACAAGACGGGATGCTGCCTAAAATACGACAGCTACTTACAGAATGGCATATTTTTCCACGAGGACCAAAACGAGATGAACTCAAAACTTTTTATGAAATGCATCGTGATTTGCCATCACACGGACTGGAGACGTTTTATAGAAGAGGTCATACTCGCAGACATTCAAATATACTCAAATTTAATTCTCAAGCTGAATCTTGTTTTGTCAATGTTAACTTTACAGATCCAAAATAAATTATCACTCTTTTGCTTAGGAGAACATTTATTTACGATGCTTCTTTATGGATGCGTTAAATTCTGAATTATCACTTTTTGGGGGGGAAATTTAATACAAATGCAATATAAATTTTTGAATGCTCAGTGGATGGTTTTTATTATATGTGGAAACAATATTATACCAGTGTACATGTCATATTGGATGAATAAACCAAGTACTAACGATCCGAACCACAAAACAAAACCCCAAATCCAAAACAACATATTGGCAATATGTGTTCGAAAATATAACATTATCATGGTTTATTTAAATGTATCTTTTAGGTTGTGTTAAATATTTTAGAATATTGTTGCCTGATTTGTTATTTTCGTTGTGTGAATTGGGATGTCCTTTTTGTCTTCGCAATTATCATGAGAATTAAATATCAAAATAAAGATTCCGTCGTCCAGCTGCACGTTCGAAATCTGCGACCGCCCAGTCGGTCAGTTTGTCAATATGAACGTTACTGATATCAACTTTGGGACTACTATTATTATCTTTATTCCCTCCAAAATTTAAAATACATCATTAATATTAAAAAAAGTAATCAAAAATGTTATTAAATTTTATTTTAATAAAAGGTCCATATAAGCACCGGTTATTAAAGATTTTTCTGTTATATCAAGTTTCTGCATTAAATCTTCGGCAATCTTTTCACCTTCCATGATATCTTGATCTGGTTTCATTACCACCTGAAACGATTACATGAAAGTCAAAAATTATCAAAATTGATTTTCAAAATAGTACACATCAATGGGAAAATAGAAATGAGTATAGGCATGGCATGGCGTTCCCGGCTTCGTTAGTAAAATCACGAGTAGCGATTCAATGATTACTACCTTAAAATGGACATAAAATTTCAAACCTCAATAAAGTCTCAAACCAATTACCAGGTGTCATGACTAAAGAATAGAATCTCTGTATAATTATAAGACAATATACCCATTAAACTAATACAAAATATTCCCACTGTTAAAATAGTGCTCATTACATCAATTGTAGAGTGATATAGAGATATCACTGTTAAAATAGTGTTCAATACATCAGTTGTAGAGCGATATAGAAATATCACTGTTAAAATAATGCTCAATACATCAATTGTAGAGCGATATAGAAATATCATTGTTAAAATAGTGTTCAATACATCAATTGTAGAGTGATATAGAAATATCACTGTTAAAATAGTGTTCAATACATCAATTGTAGAGTGATATAGAAATATCACTGTTAAAATAGTGCTCAATACATCAATTGTAGAGTGATATAGAAATATTACTGTTAAAATAGTGTTCAATACATCAATTGTAGAGTGATATAGAAATATCACTGTTAAAATAGTGCTCAATACATCAATTGTAGAGTGATATAGAAATATTACTGTTAAAATAGTGCTCAATACATCAATTGTAGAGTGATATAGAAATATCACTGTTAAAATAGTGTTCAATACATCAATTGTAGAGCGATATAGAAATATTACTGTTAAAATAGTGCTCAATACATCAATTGTAGAGTGATATAGAAATATCACTGTTAAAATAGTGCTCAATACATCAATTGTAGAGCGGTATAGAAATATCATTGCCAAAATAGTGTTCAATACATCAATTGTAGAGTGATATAGAAATATCACTGTTAAAATAGTGTTCAATACATCAATTGTAGAGCGATATAGAAATATCACTGTTA